ATGAAATCGATGAAATTGAATAAATGATTGGAACAAAAAAATTAACTTATAATTTACAAAAGAATTATAATGCGTTGGCAAAAAATAAATTTTTGCATTCTAAAAATAAATATAAAATTAATGTATGTTCACATTTAAATAGAATATTGCTGTTTTTTGCAGGTAAAGTTGTCATTCAAATAGTATTTGAAATTTGAATTTTAATCACATTTTTAATAATTTGGCTGAAAAATCGTTTAATTTACTTGGAATTAGGTGAACAATAGGGCAGATACAAAAATGGTGATAATTGTGGAAAGGTATTGGTGAAGAATTGGTGATGAAGAAATGATAGATGGATGAAAAAATCAAACAATCCCTGCAACTTTAGCGAAATCATGTTTTATGGGACGTTTTCAACAACAATTTCAATTTGTCACCTTGCGATCTTACATATTAATTAAAATAGTAAATATTAACTGTATAAATAAATAATTAACGATCATTTATATGATAGAATTAACTAGAATTTAAATCGTAAATTTTCGTATTAAATTTAAATTATGAATTCGAATTAATTGGTAATTTTTCTTTTCTTCTCCCTTTTTTTTCTCAACTTCATTGTTTTCTTTTTTAAACAATCATTTTTTATTTTCCATTTTTCATCGTTTTTTATTAATTCTCATGCAGAAATTGTAGTCAGAATAAGAAAATTAAAAAGTCACTTCAACTGTTAAATGCATAATAAACATCCCTGGGAACTGAATATGAATGAAATTTAAAACCTTACAAATTTATAATTTATCCAAATTCAACAAATTTCTTGCTAAAATTAAATTAAATTGACAAATAGTTATCATACTGACAATGGCTTTAGCAAATATTTATAATGATCGCCTTTTGCTAATTTCGTCAAGTTTTTATCAGGATTAAATTACTTCAGCTTTTCACATTTTATAGCATTACTGAATTAGGATGAAATATTTCAGATGCGATATTAGTGAATTGTTAACTTGTTTCTTTTTTCTCTAATTTTTTTTTTTTTTTTAGACCCAATACATCTAGCAATACAAAAAATTTGAAGTAAATAATTACTGAAAAAGAAAAAATTATTAAACGATTTGTTAAGTTAAAAATCAATTTTAATCAAAATTTTCCATAATTTTGTAACATTAATCATTTATTGCAATTGTCGTGCATTTCTTTACCATTTTTACATATTTTATTCTCAGATTGAAATCCTGGAAAACGTTAAAAATAGGAATTCAACCATCTGCCATTTGTTTCTTCTTCTCACTTATTAATTAATTACTGAGACTATTAATTAATTAGCTATGGAACAAATTAATTTTTAAACGACTGGAATTTCAAAATATTTGAATCACAAGACAAACATTTGGAAGGATGCGAAGTAACAGTGATTAGAACAATTAGAACAATTCGTAACCTAAATTTGTTTGATTCGAGAATGATTGAATGGTTTTTAATGAAAAAGAAATAAACAAACAATAAAGGGATTATATTATAAAAGTAAAATAATATAATTATTTTCCCTTATTTCGCTTTGGTTTCTTCATTCCTAAATTATTGAAAAAAATATATAAAACCTTAAAAACTTTCAATTTAGTTACAAATTTTTTAAAATATATTGTGTTTAATTTGATTTTGATTTTAATTAATTTTATCATCAAAAACTCAATTTTTCTTAATCAAATTTTAAATCGACACGTATGTAATAATATTTGAATTGAACAATGGATCTATATTAAAATCTAATTGCGAAAGAATTAATATTTTTAAATTAACCGATTTTATTTCTTCAAAGTTTCATTTCATATAATAAAACTGGTATCATATGAAATCTGCATTTTAGGAATTTTGAAAGTTTTGGGAAATTTGAAAAATTCAAGCGAAGTGGAATAAAACTGTACAAATAGTTTAGCGAGAGATTTGCATAAATTAATTATTTTTCAAAATGCAATATGGTAAGTTATTGATACAAGTGGCTAACCACCTCTATCAAAATTAATATATATATATATGCGATCTCCGACTATCAGAAATCATCAAGCATTTATATACGCGGTCTTCGACCAATATCTAACACAATTGATTGGGTGGTATCTGTTAAATTGGCAATTTCAGCATCATTTACATCGAGGGCTTTTTAAACCCTTTTGAAAAAAGGTGCAGTTTTTTCATGAGTCAAATTAGTGAAATTAATTAATTAGTGGAATTAATTAACGGAAATTAATAGCATTAATGGCATCTTCTTCCGTAAAGATGGCATTAATCAAGCATTATTTTATCATCTCAGGCATTTTATAATGGCTCTTTTCAGGCTATTTGAAATTTAAATAATTAATAGTCATCAGATTATGACAGATAAAATAATTTAAAAGAGAGAAACCCCGGAAATAATTTAAAAAGAATTGAAAATCATATCCATTTAAATTTTTTGCTTTCGCCCTATTCAATTTCTTATCCTCCACCGATATTGCTGTAAGAATGATTTAACTGATAATAAGTAATTATTTATTTATTTATTGAAAAAATCCTTCTTGTACTGAAACAATTCTTTTTCGATAAGAAATGAAATTCATATTTATATATATATATGTAATAAGAAAAATGAAATAGAATCAGAAAATTCAAATTATTATTAACAAAAATCCCTTAGATTGTTGTCATCCTCGTTTACTCTGTCTTTAATTTC